CTGGAAACCTTCAAGGTCAGGCTGGACGGGGCTCTGAGCAACCTGATCGAGTTGAAGATGTCCCTGCCCCTGGCAGGGGCATTTAAATAGATGAACCTTTAAGGGTCCCTTCCAACCCAAACTATTCTATAACTAAGGAAAATGCTTTCATTTTACAGAGCTTCTATGGGTAACTGATAAATAATCTTCACTGTCTAGACTATTTTATTTCTATGTTATTTTAAGATGATTCTAGAGCATCCCTTGCCACCTGTGAAGAAAAGCTCCTTGGTGCCAGTACGCACTCTCATCCTCAAATGAAATTAATGTAAATAGATACAGAAAATATCTATGGTGGTCTGTAGCCAGCTAATATATTCAAGCTGTGGTAGAGGTAGGGATTTTGATCGCCTAATAATTGTTTTCAGGAAACTATTAAGATACCTCTTTCTAATCTCTTGCCCTAAATTCTTTATTTGGTGGTAAGGCAGTAACAAAAGCAAGGAGTTCACAGAACTGGAAGCGGCAGCAACATTTTGTCTAGTTGCTAATTACAGCTAACATTGTTTTAACTTCTTTCCAGATTTGCCACTACTTCCTTGTGAGCCAGTAAGCGCCTAAGTATTGCATCAGATACTCATAACTGTTACTGAAAGACTTTGCAGGACTTTTGTACAATGAGCATATATACCTGGGATTTTAGCTCTCCAAAGGTGTACAGAATGGTATTACACCTTCAGTATATCCAGCTGAGAGGTCATGAAAGACAAACATACTCCTAGTCAAGTACAGTATTTAAAATCTACATGAAGATCTATTTTACAGGCAAAATGATCAGCTGGCAGTCCCCAAGAACAGTGGAATTGGATGGTTAAACAGTTAAGTACTGAACAGTAATTGATCACTTTTGTATGAAGTTTATTAAGATGTCCAGAAGAATAAATCTGAAGAAATATGTAGCAAATAGTTATTTTAATTCAAGAGTACAAGGCAACTTAAAACACCTAGAGCATTTATATAGTTGACAAATAAAAATACAGTGATAATTACCATCCCTGAGCAACAGTGCATTTAAATATTGTAATAAACAAAGTTACTCAAACGTACCTGTGTATGCAGACGTAAAATTGTTAAAATTTGTTAAAAGATGAAGACCTGAAGATAAGCAACTTGCCCTGTAAAGATGTGAAGTACAACTTGTTTTGGAAAACTTAAATATTACATTTAAACAAATTGAGATGTTAACTTACTCTACAAGCTACTTAACGGTACTGGTACCTGTATTTTATTTTGGTTTGACTGATCCTTTGTATTGCATACCGACAGCACCCTTTTTCCTTAATGAAACTGTAGCAGCTTAAGACAACATCTATGTTTTTCATTATTAAACATTTCATGTATTGTGTCTTCAGCAATGGTGTGAATTTGAAAGTCAGAATGAAGAACACAGTCTCCTCTAACAGTCCAGACTTCAAGCAACAGTCTCAAAGAGTAGATTTTAACAAGTTTCAATACCCAGCTTCTACATTCTCCTACCTTCCAAAAGGTCTGGGTGTGAAAGTATTTAACACAAGGATCTATATAAAATGGTCTAGCAACTAAATGGTGCACAGGTTTCCAGATGCTGAGGTATGTCAGCCAAAGTGGACAAAGTTATTTTATTTTCCCAACTGTGTATGACTAATGGCATTTAAGTTAGTATCAGCCTCTTCATTGCTGAGGAAGAAAAATGGCAATTTCATTAACAGGCACTGCTGAGAATGAAAAGTTAATTTACAGAAGAATAACATCCTGAATACTGAAAAATAGTGCATACATCAGAAGAATTTACTTTGTGCTCTGAAATTCTTGTGTAGTGTTAATAGTGTTCATATTATTGTTAACCAATAATATTGTTCATATTATTGTTATTCACAGCTTGATCATCTATCTTTGGCTGGCAAAAAACTATATCAGCACAAGTAGAATCCATTTATTTCACTGATAGCACTGCAAATTAATAATGATGTAAATGTCAACCAGCTTTCTAGGCCCTTACCCCGATCTGTATCTTTTTTCAAACACTAGCAGATCTGAAGTCAAGAGATTAGGTAATAAAGTATTTCCTACATGAAAATACACATAACATTAGAAATTTAATAGATCGAGAAATGTCTCCTTTTTCACCTATGAGTAAGTTTACAAGTACATACACAGATTCCAGATAACAGTATTTTAGCTGTCAATTCAAATGGAAAGAATATAGTATTAAAAACCCACAACATTTTTATTAAGTATCAATTACTTTCAAACCAACCCACCTGCTTTGAGCAGGAAGTTGGACTAGGTGACCTCTGGAGTCCCCAAATAGGATTTAGGGCTATATAACTGACTCATTACCCATCTACTTAATATTGAAAGATAAAAGCTTTACAAAGCAGTGATGAAATGCTTTATGTTACTAGGAGAGGTAAAACCTATCTATCTTTCAATCATTCACTAATCAGTTGCTTTTTCCCAGCCACTGGCTGACCTATGGTTATGTCCATTTTATTTATAAATCAGGTAGTCTAAGAATTACGGTATCAGTTAGAGCAAACAAACAGTATTAGAAATAATAAAAATACTGGAATGTAACAAAAGTGACATCCACTTTGCAGGATAACAGTTACTTGAGTCCTTCACATGAAGCTGAAAGAAAAGAGAAAACAAATCCAACTTTAACAAAAATGCTGTAAGGTCGTATATACTGCACAAGCTGTATCTTGTACTAATTCGATAATGATTAGTTAATGATTTGGCATCACCAAGTAATAATTTGGCCCTAATTATTAGGCCAATAATTATTTGGCCTAATACAGAATTAATAAATTCTGTAAACAGAATTTACTTGGCTGTTCATATAGAAAACCGGAACGTTTTCATAAGGTTCAGCTGTTCAGGTTATCTGTAATTCACTTGTACTTCTTACTTTCTAAGTACAAATTACTACAGAATGGTTGTTTTAGTCTGTTAATATGATCAGCGCTAACACACTGAAATGCATCCCTTCCCCACATCCTTCCAGTGCTCAGACAGAACATAGCTAATGACAGAACGAACCAACATGATTTAAAGAAGTTTGCATTAACCAGTCTGACTGAAGCTCCCACAACACAGTAGAGAGGTTCTGAAATAAGTATGGTATTTTTCAGAAGTCTATAGGTGTTGTCAGGGTATGACCTAAGTTACCTCCTTAAAAAAATCAGGTTTCTTGGTATCTAGAAAATAGGGAAAAAAAATGCAACACTAGTTTCAGTTTGTTTATGCAAACAAAAGCTGTGTTTCACTGTCCCACCCATTAAGTATTTTTTGCCTATAACCCTGGCACTACAAGAGGCTATGCTCAAAATCCAGCACTGTCTCATTCTTCTTGCTGCACTCAAAAATGCTGGGGGACTTCCTCACTGGAAAGGATTTGTGATGGCAAGCAAAACCGAACAGGCTTCCCCACATTCCCTTGAGAAGCACAGCAAACAAGACCTGCTGAAGGAGTCACTTCACTGGGTGATGTAGATGCCTGTGATACAGGGGACATCCCTCACCCTATTTACTGAGCCGTCTTTGCTGTCTTGCTTAATCTTTTTCAATTTCACAGGACTCATTTGAATAGTATATCCTAACAAAAGATGCAAGAACCCCTTTTCAATGTGGCAGTTATTGAAAATGAATTTTTCAAGTCAACAAAATATCTGGTTTTGCCTTTGAAAGGTTGTTTTTTAAAGAACAAAGAACTTCTGATGTCTGGCAGTTTTCCAGATAGCAGGTTGATCTGGACTGTTCATCACAGAAAATGAGAACAGCATACTTCAAGACAAGACAAATAATTTGAATTAAAAAAAAAATAAAAATAGAGAAGACAGTTGCATATGGATGTTAATAGCTTCTCTCCTTCACTATCAGGTCAAGCAACTTCACTAAGAAGTTTTCCCAGTCTGGGTAAAAGCTGCAGGTATTTGGCCTGTACTCCCCAAAACCATCCATTCTCACTAATCGCTTCTTTTCACTGTCTAGAACAGAATCTTACAGAAGAGAAAAAGGATATTCTTCCCCTTAGGATACCTGCATGTTCTCCGGTTACTCTATGTGCCACAAAATGTCAATATTCTAAAAGCGTACACAAAACAGAGAAGGAATCCTTAAATGGTCTTACAATCCTTAAATGTCTAACAAAGCAGTTCATGCAACAAGATAGATGTTTTTATGTGCTTAAACAATTCAATTATTTACCTTAAGGACTTATCCCAAGAGTGACACAAGCATCACAACACCCATAAACTGAATGAAGAGCAACAAAGGTGTCATAAACGACCAGACAGGCCACAAGGCAATGTTGAAACTGGGAATAAAAGCAGGAAGTTTTTGGTAAGTTCAATTGTCATATTATGGAAATATCAGCCACACAAAGAAAATATGGCACAAGAGGAAATGAGATTTAAATTATGCAACCTGGAAAAATACTTGTTTCTTTAAGATTTGAGAGAAAACAAAACGAAAAGATCCCAGCATCTACTTATTAAATTGGTAGTTTAGTTTACTGTTTATTTACTGACAACTCATCTGAGAACTTCAGTAGCTGCTGTAGATTTTACGCTGTGCAAGTCCACTTGGTCCCATCAAGGGTAAAGATACCTTTTACTTTCAGAATCTCTGTATATGAAGCACCTGAAAATTAACTACTCTTGAGTTTTCCAGGGACATACATGGCAGCTGAGAAAAACCTTAACTTGTACTTCCAGCCAAGCAGATTTCAGTTAACTGAAGAGAAAGGGGGAAAACCAACTTATTTTACAACTGAATTACAAGGATTATAGATTTGACTAATTCTAAACTATAAGGAACCTTTATCTTCTTCAGTGTTCCTTTTTTCCCCAGCATTGCAACGAATACTGACTGACATTATTCAGCTGCAACATCTGAACTTAAAGAGAGAACCAGCTTTCATGCAGAGAGCAAACAAATATACTGGCACACACGTATATAATTTTTTCATTCACATGCACATTTGCTCAATTCTGACTCCTATCATCTCATAAAGAAAGTAGCTCTTACTAAAAGTACCATTCTCTGACAAGATATAAACCCTTAAAGCTCATATAACAATAGCTAGAAGTATAAATTTCAGAATATGTTTGCTATTTATAGATTGTTTGATAATGAAGAACTCTGTATTAGAAATTGATCAGGCATAATTTTTTCTCAGCTAGAGAATACACCTTTGTCTTAATTTGTAAACCTCACAAAGAGTTGTCAGAGGTGAACAATTTACACTAACAAAGCTGAGGACTTCAGTTTTCCCATAAATTTTCACAACAGAAAAGATCTGGTGTATCTACAAGTACACTTAATATACAGTTCCGACAGTTGCAACTCTTGTTTTGTGAATGAATGTTGAAAGTGGAAGAAATTATGCTACGTAAGACTGGTATTGTCACCAATACACTTAGAATTAGAGAAATTATACTTTTTATAAAATGAGCCCAGTAACACAGTTAGGCTTGCACAGGTTTAGCAGAAGTTTGTAGCGTTCAAACTTACCAAATTGCTGCTGCAATAAAGGTAGCTGTTGTGATAGGTATCAGTGCTGGATACTGTGCATCGTAGTCCTCAATTCCACAATACCACTCAAGATATAGTATGCAGTAAATGGCAACAGATGAACTTGCAGCCAGTAAACAACTGCCAGAGGCAAACCACCAACTGGGGGGGGAGGGGGGGAGAGGAAAGCACGTTAAAGCATGTTAAGCACAGTCACATTGCAGTTTGCACATTAATCTTCATTCTAGTCTAGAAACAGAACAGACAATACCTGTTAATTATACAGATTGGCCTAGAGTTCCTGTAGTTTTTTTCTTAAATTACTTTTACAAAACACTTTTTGCCCTTCTAAAGCTGTCTAATATACATAACTAATTGAGTTTAATTTTGCAATGCAACATTCCTGTCATTTATTTGTCCCTCAAATATTTTGGAAATGCAATGCAACAGACCTTGTCAGTGATCTACTATACTACCACACCAAAAATACCTTGTCAGTAATGAAATAAAATAGGCTCCACTGCAACTGTGCTTCTCACTATAAATTAGACTACTGATTTCTGAGCAACAGAAACATTGCAGAAAGCTTTATTAAAGTTTCAAGTTTATGAACTCTCAAATTTAACAGAGAAGCATGAAGATTTTTCTTTATAGCAGCTGAAGAAAACCATAGAGAACTCCAGGATTTCAAACTCAGAATCAAGAAAACACAGGGTATGTGATTATTTAGGAAGATGCACTTTTGAGCCTCTTTGAGGACATACTTCAAGAGTAAGATGGGAAAGACAGCTTGGGAGGAAGGTGCACTTTAATAAAATCTTATACTCATCTGAATGTGTATTTAGCAAATAAAAATTTTGAAAAGTGAATTCTTATTACCATAGTTTGATTACTAAATTACAAAGGGCAATCAAGGATCTTCCTACTCAGGTCTAACATTTGCTCTCGTATGGTACAGCAAATATCGTATGCTATTTTGGGACCTCAATACTACCAATTGAGAAATCTGCATTAAGAGAGCAGTTGCCATAGTCTACCTAAATAAGCAACGCAGGAAGACAGGGTACTGCAGGGAGCGGATGGGGCCACCCAAAACTTTGATCACATCCTGGAATCACGAAGTTGTATCCACAGCCAACTGGATGTAGGGTCTATCTAGGCCAGCCTGGAACAGCAGCTCTACAGAACCTCACAGCACAGAGCGAGGCCCTGTTCAGCTTCCACATATTGATACAACAATGACAATGAGAAAGTTTTAAAAGCACTTCCAGGTGAAGCTATCTAAAAATATTTAACATCCAACAATCCCACTGAAAATAATTTAATAGAAAAGAAATAGAAATTATTTCAGAAGAATCATTTCACTAATCTTTCACTAGTCTACTCAAAGAAGTCTAGAGAACTTCATTTTGATGTTTAAAGATTAATTTCAGCTTTTTTTGATTAAAATAAAATCAAAACCCCAACGCTTTCAACAAAACAGGCAGCAATTTCTTGTACGGAAGTGTAAACTTGAAGGTACAGTATTAAAACATCCTGCTATTTGAACAAATTTTGCATGTACACAGATGGCTCAGTAGAGCCTAAAGAAAAAAAATAATTATAGCAAAATTTTAAGCATTATGTTTTCTTAAAAATTAGTTTAATAATAATTACTTAGGTGGTCATCTGGTCCAACCCCCCTGTTCAAGCAGGGTCACCTAGAGCCAGTTGCCCAGGACCATGTCCAGACAGGTTTTAAGTATCTCCAAGGATGGAGACTCCAGGACCTCCCTGGGCAGCCTGTGCCAGTGCTGGGTCACCCTCACAGTGAAAAAGTGTTTCCTGATGTTCAGAGGGAACTTCCTGTGTTCCAGTTTGTGCCTATTGCCTCTGGTCCTGTCACTGGGCACCACTGAAAGGAACGTGGCTCCGTCTTATTTCCACCCTCCCTCCAGGTATTTATATACCCTGACAAGATCCCTCTGAGCCTTCTCTTCTCCAGGCTGAACAGTCCCAGCCCTCTCTATTCCTATTATAGATCTTGTTTAGCCAAGATTTAAAACACAGTGTTCAGATGTAACAAACTGGATATGATTGTAAGATGAAAACACAGCTTTCTTTGTAAGAAAAGTTACCTTACCTATCTGCTTGAATAGTTTCTTTAACAGTTTTTAAAAAATCAAAGTAGTATGTCACAGCAATCGATGCCAAAATCCAGAATGCAGAATGAACATTCAGTCTGGTAAGAGGCTTCCTCTTCTTCTCTACAGCTGTAGACTCTTCTGTAAATAAGAACATAATTATAGCACTAAAGCCAGTCATTAAATGGAGTATGATTATAGTTACGTAAAACATTTAATTCATTTATCTTTGGAGATTATTACACTCAGTATAATACTTTGTATTACAGAGGAAGTATTCTAAACAGCTCTCCTTTTTCCTGAAATAAAAGACTACGCAAGGTACCCTCTGATAAAACGATAAAGCAGTAACAATCAGCACATACTGTGCGCGTGTACCTTCTTAGGAAATGAACAGCTGACTAGATTATGAAAGGCTTATTTAACTAATTAAAAACCTCCTGGTGTTATTAAAGCATTTTTATTAATCAAGCATATAGAAAGTCAGGTTAGTATTTCCGATTACTGATTTATTTGTATCCTTTTTTGTTAATTTCAGTATTTGCAAACCGATTTCAGGCATAAATAATTTTCTTGTACTCAACTGCAGTTACTTCACAAGAGATTTTCAACTTCAGTTTCACGAGCTAGCTTGATTCACACTGCATACCTTCAGCAGGTAAACTAAAACTATCATTATGCAGAAAAGTATCTTTTCTTTTTTCCCTCATCACCATATATTGTTTTAGAAGAAAGCAAGGCAACAGAGCAAGCAGATTTGAAAGCATATTTTTGTGCATGACAGTAACCAACTAACACACTCAATACTTATAGACACTGTCCGAAAAAAGGTGTCAAAGGTGCCTTTGATGTTTCATACTTTGAACTTTATCACTAGAAGTTATTGGTGGCCTGTGTGCCTCCAGCAGTGTAATGTATGCTGGCTCCTCCACCTGCATTATCACCAGCTGAGCATACTAACAGCTCTGCTAGACTTTACAGGCATTTTTATTTCCTAGATTCTTCCTCATCTACTAGAGCTTGGGCCTGGAGCATTTAAGCACTTCACCCCCATCAAGAAATCCGCGGTTGCAAGTGTTTTACACAACTCACGTCTCCCTTTTCCCATCCAATTCGCTGTTACGAGCAGACACCCGAGGGAAGATGTGCTGGCTGCGAGCAAGCAGTACCCCACCGGCAGGGCAACGCGCCCCTTTACCCGAGGAGCACCCTCACTCCTGCAGTGCGCAGGGTCCGTCCCCTTTCCCCGCTCCCGCCGCGGGAGCTGCGGTGCGGCAGGCGCTGCTTGTCACCGCTCCCCGCCCGGGCATTTCTGTCACACCGCCCGCCTCGCAGAGCCTGGCTCCGCTCCGCTCCCCTCCCGGCGGGGTCTCCGCGTCCTCGGCCCGCGTCCTCGGCCCGCGTCCCCAGCACCACCCACCGACCGTCCCGCCGCCCCCGAAAGGCGACTGCGGCAGCAGCGGGGCGCGGGGCTCTGCCCCTCGCTGCAAAGGGCGCCTAAGCCTCGGGAGCGGGTCCCCGCCGCTGACGCCGGTCTCCATCTCGGGCC